AAATGTACTTAGAGGCTTCAAATCGTCCTTTTTTATTTCATATACTTGCTGATAATCCATTATATTTAATGGAGTATCAGAAGAACCATCATGTACAGACATCACTTCTTCTACTTCTTTTTCTGCTTCTTCATCTACATCCTCCTCAGAATCAACGTGTTCAATAGTAACTGGTTCCTCTTCATCATCACGACATTTAAATATATCTAAAAAATCTTCTGGATTGTAATTTTCGTATTCAATCCCCCAAACAGGGCACATCTGTTCATTCTTAAGAATACACACATCTTTATATTTCTTATATATATCAGCTATCTCATTGAGGTATGTACATAATTTATCACACTTTTCGTTAAAATCATTTTTCATATCCCTAAGATAATTAAAATCCATAGAATAATCAAACAGTTTTTTAGCATGATCCCAATTATCGTGATAACTAGTAATTTTAAGATAAGGTTTACAACTGCAAGCCTTGGAATCTGTTACGAATTTAGTACCAAGAATCCACATATCGTTAATATCTGATAATGCATTAAAACAATTTGTTTTATCCATATGATAAGTTCTTGATAGTTCATTATATAACCAATAGGTTAAAATATTACAATTCATTTCCATGAATTCAGGTTTACTCCTTATTCGTTCTTTTTTTACTAGATAATTTATATATGCTTTACAAAGTTTTTTAATTTGTCCATTTTTACCGTATTTTGTTGTAGAAAAAGTTTTACAGTATTCTACGTTTACTAAATCCGAAGGATGCCTTTTCAGCATTTCATATAATTTAAATGAAGGTAAATGAGATTCAGTAAATGTCTATAAGTTAAAACGGAAAAAAGTAAAATATAAACATTTATATATTCACTACTATTATAAATTTTTTATTGCAAAACATTAATTGCAGGATATATATTAATACACATATATACAATAATATGCATAAAATTAAATGTATCCATACATCCGCTTGTTTTTCAGGCATTTTTACATATTATAATATAAGAAATATAAGAAATGATAAATTAATTAATGTCGATATTTAATTATGCGTGATCTATTTTTGAACTAATATGTCGTGTAAATATAGAAATTGTTAATTTCAGCATAAACGTATATTTTAAAAAATCATGAAAAATCTTATAATATATATTTTAAAAAAATATATAGAAAGCTGTAATAGAAATATATAATTTATTAAATTTATTAGTTCTGTGTTATTCATGCATATGAGTCAGTTTCTTCAAAAATTAAAAATAATAATGGCTAAAAAATAATGATATGAAGTTCTTTTTTAAATTACATTTCAATAAACAACATAATATATACGAATTATTATATATAAATAAATATAAAAATGTTCTTATAATTTAATATAAATTAATGTTACACTGTGATTATGTAATTAAAATACATATAACATAATTTCAAAAAATTTCATATATGCATAAAACAAATTTTAATTATTCATCATATATAATATCACTTTAATGATTTTTCTTTTTTTTTGTCATTTATTGTATCCTCTGTTATAAATGATTAACAAAAAATTAAAGGATTATGCCAAAAAATTTAGATTTTATAACACATTTTATTTATATGTTATAATCATTGGGAGATACTCATGTATTAATCATATTTGTTATGAAGTATATATATTTGTTTTATAATTTTTATATAAACTAAAATTATACATTTTCTGCATTAATATTCATTTATATCTGGTTCAGGATTTAGGAATAGTGTTTCGTTTTTAGGGTTCTTTTTAGACTTTAATAATTTCTTTAGGGAACTGTTTATCATTCTTTTATTATATTTACTGCAACTATTTTTTGTTTTTATTCTTTTGATATTCGTTATAATTATATTTTATAATTATATCATAAACATATATAGAATAATATTAATATATTATATTTAGTTATGTGAATTAAATAAAATATTTCAATGCATATAATTTATATTGTTTTAATATTTATATTTCTCACAATTTTATTTAATATGTAATTCTTTCGTATACATATTATATTATTATTTATTTTCAAGATCATTATTCATAGATTTATTTTATCACATGGATTACTTTATTTTGACTATATATATAGCATTATTTATGTGATTTCTTGCATCATACAATATGTTATATAAACCTTTAGTTCAGTACTTTAGGTTTATTAATCACTTTTATTAATTCTATCATATCATGTAATTATATGATAAAGCTGTATCGGTACATGTAATAAATATTATTGTCATGTTATAGAAAAATATGAATTTACTTTTACATTTCATATAGGAATATATTATACAAAAGCTTTTTTATATGTTTTGAGATATATATATATTTTTTCATATTAATAAATTGTTAATACAATAAAAAACATATTATTTCAGTATTATAAATAAGCTATATGTATTTTAATTAATATATTTTTAAGGTTTCTCCTCCAATACATAAGAAAAAAATAATTTATATATACTAATTTAATTTTTTCAAATATAATAACATTAATTTTTATAGAGATAAAGCTTTTTACTTTTGAATAATAATTTTGTAGTGAAATGTGTATGATATCCTAACAGATTAATATATAAAATATAAATAATCTCTAATATTTTCCTGTAATATGCATTTAATGTGTAGAATAATGGTTTAGTTTAAGACAATATTTAGTGTCTATTAAATATAAAAAAATATATTAAATACATTGTTATACAAATTAATAAAAATGTAACTCTCCTTTATAATATTATTATAAAAATTGGTAATTATTTCTCTTCCATAATGTATTATATGTTACGTTATATTAAATAATATAATTATATATAAAATGTGCACTATATATATTAAATTACATCCTAAATGTTAATTATGTTAAAACTGTAAAATATTAGGAAACTAACTTTGTTTTTGATTATCATAACTCTGAATGTTCTATTATGTTCATCACTGTGTGATCTAATATAACAAATCATAATCTAGTTGGAGTATAAGATATATCAATTAGAAAAG